CCCCAAAACCCCAAAACCCCAAAACCCCAAAACCCCAAAACCCCAAAACCCCGAGACATAGTCTGCAGTTGGAGTCGGCTAATAATAAGTCCTTTTCTTACACGAGTTGGTTTAATTATAAATTAATGCTGAGCTTCATCCAACTTGGAGTTGGTAATGTTAGGGTTTGTATCCTGCATTGAATACTCTAGCTCATAGTCATCATAAGTAGAATCAACTCTCCCGTTACTTCATTGTTCAGTCGGGATTTTCTCTGTTTCTTCTTCTTCAGAGCCAGCTTCTTGTATTCAATCATTAGCTATACTTCCAGAGACAATGAGAGGGAGTCGGATTTCAGATATTTTCATTGATTCTGCAGAAGATGGTTTAGTCTTAGCTTTCCGATATTTCTTTCTACCTTCTCCTTGAACGTAGAACATACCTTTAACAGTCTCTGTTGTGGCAGAATACTTTTTCTTACAAATGGAAGACTCTGAACTTCAGACTTCACGAGAAGATTCTTCATCTGTTTCAACTGATGATTCTCCTCCATTCCTACCATTTTCGGGTAATATCATAATGAAATAGCTATCTGAAGGTAATTCTGGTTCGTCGTCTCAAATAAGTGGGTTTTCTGATTCGAAATTATGTTCCTCTTCTTTCCCTCCTTCAGGGATATCTATCAAATTTTGGAAGTAGCTCTTTCCTAAAAGTCATTCAAAAAAAGTACCATCTGGGTTTTTGAGGTGACTGGTATTGATCTCAGGGGTAATGAATTCTTCCAATTCTTCTCCCCTGCTTTCGTTCATTGGAGTTATGGCTTTAAAATAGTCACTTTCTGTACTCTTTTCATACTTGCTTTTTACCATTGAAATCTCTTGTTCCATTTTGGGTTCTTCATATTCCACTCTTTCTGGTTCATTTTGGATATTTCTATTACGTATTTTGGGATACAAGCTTACCTCCTGTTTTCTTTATTTCAATCCATACTGAGGACTTCGATGTAATTGGGATCAACTTCATCCACGTCTTGCTTGGCTTTTGGTGTTGTTTCTTCGGTAGTTTCTGCAATATTTCTATCACTTGATGCTGGATTAGTTGCACTTCCCACTAAGACATCATCTCCTGAGCTAAGGAGATCACGCTGGGGCTCTTCATGAACCTCATTGTAATCCTCGAGTACAGGAATATCATTTGTGTTAAGATCTTCAAGCCTCATTTCCCGGTTTCGGTCTCATTTTGAAATTTCAAAGGTTGAAAATTTAGATGCTTGAATTAAATTTGACTTCAAACTTTCAATAGGTTTCTTGTCAAGGGACTCTCTTTTGACCTTCTTTTTCTTCTTCATGCCCTTGCCTTTAGTCTTACTACAATCTCTCTTCAAGCTCTCAAAATAGAGACTTTCATGATGAGAGTCTGCTTTATGCTTATCCATGATCTCTTTATGTGAATTATTAAAAGAATTCCTTGAAGAATTCTGAGTAGCATGGTTCTTCTTGGCCTTTTTACTTTTAGCAGGTCTATCAGATATATACATCTTTGGGTGTTTGCTTGCTTTCTTGTTCTTATTTTACAATCTTCTCCTTTAATTTCTTAACACAGTCAAGATCCTTCAAGGAAACCTTGAGCGGTTTGCTACTATTTATCCTTTTCATTTTGGTCTTAGAGCTAGCCCTTCTGTTGTCAGAGATATACATTATATTAGAAGGGTTATTTTTCTTTAGAATGATTCTGTCGACTGGTACTTTTGGTGAAAAGAATGCTATTCCTTAGCTTATCCTTATGCAATTTACTTTCCTCATAAGAAATTTTTAGCTTATGGTTCCGAGCTTGGCCCTTAGATTTCCTCATATCAACACTTCTACGTTCGTTATGGTCTTCTTTGGACAGTCTTGAGCGGGATTTGACAAGGTCTCTCTGAGCTTTAGACTTGTTATAAATCTCAAAGTCTCCTATTTTGTGTGTGCTTCCTTTCCTTTTCTTGTCAATTTCTTTAAAATTCAATTTCTTAATGGAATTATGGTGGATTTTCTCTTCGCCCAAGCATTTATTTGATGAGCGAAGGAGTTGAGATAGTATTCGAGGTTTGTAGCTGTGCTTTATTCTCTCTAAAATTCAGTTAACCAACCACAAGAGCTTACTCTTTCTTTAGATGAATCTTTTTCAATAGATCTAGCTGCATCTCAAGTCCTGACTGAGACCTAGTCATAGAAGGCCCTTTGGAGTGATTTTTATTTAGGGATTTTTGTAAATTGAAATGGAAGTTGTGTATCAGTTTCTCCTTCTTCAAGTTTTTACCCTTCTTCTTAATCTGACATGGAAGCATGTAGTTATGTACAGAAGGAGATTTAGGCGGCCGAACTGTCTTTAGAAGCTTGGATTCATCATTGATTATAGGTGTATTATTGGCAGTATTTCTTAATTTATCTTTTGATTTATTCCGCTCTTTCGAAAAATTTCTTGCCTCTGGATATAAATCATGGCGGTCTAGTTCATTAATGGTTTGAAATTGAACTTCATTCTTTTCTTTGTTTAATTTTCTACGGGCAGACCCTTTCTTTTTATTTCCCTTTAGTCAATTTTTGAGGATTATTAAGCCCGATCTTACAGCTATTTAGTAAAGTAGCTGTGCTTTTGGAGCCTATTATTACCATTTTTGTATTATTTTTTGAAGTTGTTGCAGATTTCAAGTTATCACCAATTGACTTTCTGATCTTTTTCTTTTTAATCTTAGAATCACCTCTTTTGTTGACCATTTAAAATATTAGCTAATTCTTGAAAATTCAATTTAAATTATTTAAATCGGGGTTTTGGGGTTTTGGGGTTTTGGGGTTTTGGGG